TGCATGATCAAAACCGAAAGTTTCTGTGATGACTGCCCTTGTACTGTTCACCATGTAAGAATTTATTCACTGTGCAAGAATTCGTTCACCATGTAAGAACTTGTTTGTTATGCTTCAGAAGATTGGAGACTGACGAGAATTAGGCTTGAGATGGATTAATGATTGTACATTGAGCATTGACCCCCCTATACTGAATTTTATTGTTGTTAACAACCATTTGATCAATAAATCTGAGAGATGCCCTCTCAAAAAGAAAAAAAAAAAAAAGGGAAAAAATGGAAGTTAGCATTTAAAAACAGTAATAGGGACAAAATAGTTCAAAGTAAATCAGTGCCAAGTCCTAATAGTGGTTAATGTGTGTGATATTTTCATTTCCATTGTATGGACTCTCAGCTATGTGTGTATATGTATTAAGTGGGGAGTATGGAATAGAATATCTTTAGTACTTTGGGTCACAGTCAAAAATGTTTAAATCCACTCTTCTAGGGAATCCCAGTCTTACCTGCTTGAGAATATCAGTCTTGAGACCTGCTTGAGAACGAAACACTGTGAGAGGAGCACCAAATGTGTGGACCACTAAGGACTAGCTCTTTGCGAGACAGTATCAAGTATTCACATGGGGAAAAAAAGCAATCAGTTAAACTCAATTCCATTAGTAGAAGAGCTCAGGTGCTGAAATTCAGAGTCTCGGTACTTCACACAAGATGCTTCTCAGCTTCTCTGGGAAACTTGCCTGTCCACTGGTTTGAATTCAATAATCATTGAATAAACTGCATTATTCTGTCTAAAGGGATGCCTTCTTGGTGAGGCTTGCTGGCTTCCGGCATTAAAAAATTGAAGCTGTTCTGGAGATTTTATCTCCAGACACTAAACACATACATACATACAGACACACACACACAAATTAATAAAAATAATTACAGACAATGTTACTGGACAGAACCTGAAAATAGGGAAATATAAGAAGGGTTTCTTAGCTATACTCACAGGCTGATACGAAGTCATGGAGCCTCACTGATAGAAAAATCATAAAATATTAATTCCTTAATCTTCCTTCTGTACATCCTGTGGATTTGATAGATAAAATCAGAAAATAGGAGCTATGTCAGTTGAAAGATATATCATTATAGTATGTATTAACAAAGTAAAAAACACTGCAATTAAACCAAGAAACACCACATACATTCCAATTTTAGGGATTTTAAAATAGACATTGATGAAATACAGTAGAGGAAGGACAAACATAAATTTCTATTTGTTTCTCATTTCTAATCTATCAGCCACCCAACATGCATTGTCAGAGGTCATAAGGGAATTCTTGTGCTCTGGGTTAGCCTCAGAGACGATTCTGTCAGTTCTTAAGTGTTCTCAGATTATATCAGCCATGGCTAAATCTCATTGATTCACCAAAGCTCCTTAATGGAGTAAAGATTTAATAAATGTTTCATTGTCATTATTTTGTTATTTTAATGAAAAGGGCCTAAAAGACAATGAGAGACATGGTTTAGAACTGGATTCTATTTACCAAAGAACAGTTAGAACCTTAGGGCCCTTCTAAAATATCATACATTCCTGGTATTGTCGTAGACAATCCTGAGAAGTCCTGAGAAGATTTCAAATATTCCTAAATCTTAATACACCAGTGGTAAGTATAATAAATGAGGCTTTCAACAGCAAAATAGTATCTGGGATCTACATAGGCCTGTTTAATCAGTAGTAGAGACCTCTTATTTTTATGACTATGTCAGTCATTATCTCATGTGCTTATGGCAGATTACTAAATTTCATTTTATTCACTTTTATTCAGGTTACTAATAGAATGCTTATTTGCATAAACAGAGGGGAATAAATGAAGACTGTGTGGGTTGGTAGTAATTTAGTTTGGTACTTTGCACACATTTTTCAAATTACTGGATTAATTTGGTATCTTAATCATACCGCTCAAATCTCAAATGTTTGGCGTTCTTAAAGTAAAAAGTAATCCTACTGACTAAACATCTTTCGGTTTAAACTTTCCTGAAAGGAAATTAGTATGTGACTCACTTCAAGGATAAAGGTTACAGGAGGGTGGCCCTTAAGTGAGTAGAGCCTTTTCTCCTTGTAATAGTTGAAGAGGTCAAAGCTATTAACATTTTTTGTAACTTAAGCTGGGCACATTTGGAAGGGCATCTCAAACCCTTGTCACATTGCCTAAGCAGAAGTTGTAAGCTTGAATGCACCAGAGTCTAAAACACTTTCTGGTCTGTGATCTTTTACAAACACAAACTATTGAAGAGTCAGCAAAAGACAGACCAGAATGCCTTCCATTTTCCTTCTTTCACTGCCCTGCTCTTTGCCAGACCAAAAGAATGTCTGAGACACAAAGACAGCAATGTGCAATGGGGCTGTGCAGAAATACCAGATCTCTTTCACATTTCTAAATATTAATCTGGTATAGATGTTACGAGTTTCTCCTCAGGATAAAACAACCCATTGAGGTGCAATGAAGAGTAATAACTACATGAAGTGTTACGAGGTCAAATTTCAGTAGCTGAAGGTAAGTTGTCAAGGCAGAGTTAATTTGACTGGGCAGCTTGGATCTTTTTTCAAAGTCAGATTGACATTGAGCCAAATTCTCATGAGAGAAATTTATTATAATGTGTTAATGTGTCATCAAATAGCCTGCACAAAAAAACTGCAATAAGGACTGAACTGGAAATATGCTTCTGTTTGTCATCCTTCATTATCTTACTTTATTAATGCTTTGCATGCTCAGCTAGATGCCACACTGGAAATGTTGATATTTACAAACAAAATCTTTGTGGAGTTATCTTTAATTGGCAGAACCAAAAAACAGAATTTTCCCTAGACTTGAAATACATTGTCTTAAAGGTAAATAAACATCAAACTTAAATGTGGTATCAACTTGCTCTATTTTAATCTATACTTTCCTTATTTCACTTTATAGTAAAGACATGTTGTAATGGATGTGGTTGCTAAATAGTAATGTGGATAAACTAAAATATGATATAAAAGTTAATAATATTTTTACCAATGACATAATGCATTCCTCTAATAGTCTTACCAATTATTTTCATAGTTCTTGGAGTATATCTTTCCATGTTCCTTTGATTCATATCTGGACCTGGATAGGAAGAAATTATATGGAAATTTACAACCCCTTTTATAAGTAACTATTGATAAATAATTTACTGGAAATTCTTATAGTTCTGCATTAAAACTATTTAAAAACTATTGTGCACAGTTATGTGGAGAAGTCAACAGAATTGGTGTCACAGATGTTTTATTATTAAAGCTTAACTTTTTATTCTATTTATAATATTCACACAGTACAGTATTGCAGTACATAAACTGTCAGTGATAAAATATTAATTGTTATGAGTACACCTATATACTAGCTCACCTAAAACTGAATAAATCCATGCTAGATTTACCATATATTTATCTTCAAAGTATTTCTCTACATGAACAAATTAAACCTCAACCACTGTTATTTCAAGATGGTTAAACTCAAGTCAGTGAGGTCAGGCTGCCCAAAGCAGATAAGAAGAGGAAAATTCCTGGGAAGGCCTCAGACAGGACCTAGTTTATGTTGTGACAGAGAACATTATTATACCACTATTTCTTTCACAGACATTCTTTCAGACCTTAGCAAGTATTACTCTATCTTGGCCACTTTAAATATTTTAAGTATTTTATTTGAAGAATACAAAAGCAATCCTTTACTCATTCTGTATGCAAGCTAATGGAGTCTATTCTTTTCCTTTTAACTTTGATCAATAGAAAAATAAAAGAAAGAATAAATAAAAAATAGAAACTTGAAAATTAGATTTTATGAGTGTAAAAGCATTTCTTATTTTAACCTTCCTATTTTTTTCATGTGATGACCTCTATTCCTATGGAAACAATACCTAACCAATAATAAGAGGAGGAGAAGGAGAAGGGAAAAAGATAGAGCTCTTCTTTAGTTCTCAGGGGTAGCAGGGAAGGTAGATGGTAGGGTACCAGATTTCCATGGAGAACTTTGTAAAATTAGAGAGACCAGCACATGTACCCAACCCCAGAACATTCTGGCCCTTAGTAGAGCAACTTAGCTGCTACTGAGGTAAAAGGGAGAGATGCTAGAAAGAGATTCAGATTAATGGTCACCATATTACTCACTGATTATACAAAATAATATGTTGCCAAGTAATTAAACAATATATTTCATTATGGTCATATTTTATTATTTCTTTAATTAGTAAACACTTTATTTTACACATTGATGAAGTTAGATTTGGAAGACCTAAACAGTTTAATAGACTCTTGAAAAGTTTGAAAAACCTGCATAAAAGCACAATAAAAGGGCACACAGTAGGCCATCAGTGAATATTTTTTACTGTACAATTTATTTGGAATAAGGTCAAAACACACCAGTCAGGTGTTGGGCATGGCTACTCAGAAAAACACCACCATATTCAAGAGTATTTGGTCAATTACAGTAAATAGTTAATGACCCCAGTGACCTGTGCTTGTTTGCAAGCCAAATCCAAATGCATTTCCCTCCCAAGCCTGTCTCATCCAACCTTTTAATTATGGTAATAATGTTATTTATAACATGTCACCACCAAATGGCCACAGGGCTTTGGCACGGTTACCAACAACCCAGGGAAGGACAGTGGGCAGTAGAAATCTCACCCAGTAAGATAAAATTCCAAGTAGGTGCTATCACAAAAATGCAATGGAAAGAATAAAACAGTTATTTACAGACTGAGATTTGTGAAAGTTGGTCTTCAAACAGTGTTATCTTCAACGTGAAAGACTGAGCAGGTATACATTTAAGCTTCATTAAAGACTCTACAGCAAAGACTATAAGCAAATGACAGAATTCTTCAAAGGAGGGAGATACTTAGACGTATATATTTGGCCTGGGATACTGCTAGCAGGAATTTTTGTAACAGATGGACCAACATTAGTGAGTGCTGTAAATTTCAAGACCTGGTGTGCATAAGATGTATGGACATGATCACGGGATGATGATAATGAACACAGCTAACATTTATTGACTTTTAACTCTATGCCAGACACTTTAAATGCCTTACGTACATTAACTGATGATACTTGAGGCTGAAGATGTTATGCAGTTTGCCCATAGTTAGTTAGTTGAGTCCACTGGACACTGGACTAAAAGCAGACCTGTTTCCTTGCTTAACAATCACATATTCAAATAGCGGCATAAAAGATGTCAGGAATTTTCTTTCCTTTGATAGTCATCATGAAATAGTGAACAGGGTCACACCCTTAATGTTCATTTAGAAGTGGCAATGTCCTTTTATCAATTAAGAGTATGTACCAAGGCCCACGGAGTACTGTTGTTAGACAGGAGGAAATGACAATGGGAATAAAAGACATGAGTTTGCTGCTCTTCAAGTCCTCACTATGCAGTCAGAAAAAGGACTAAGTAGCAGCATACATATATGCACACAATTACAAATGAGAGAAACCTGAAAATGATGATAAAAACACCAAGACATTAAGAAGAATAAAGAAAGAAGATACTAGAAGCACCAGAGGAACTAAAATCAAAGGCTGATAAGTTCTTTATAAAATAACTGTTAACTCCTGTTGATTCCTGCTTTACTTTTTTCAACATTTCTACTTCTGCATGAGGCCTTGGTGCTTATTCCTAAATCCCTAGCTACGGAAACCTTCCACTGTAAAGTCACAAAGACATTCTGATGAGATGAAGAAAGAAAAGAAAGGGAGGCTTTTTTTGTTAATATACCTGTCTATCCCCTTCACCTGCCACTCACCTTTTCTTTAGGGCTCCAATCAGAATGTACTACTCATTTGGGTACTTCTCATTCTCACTGTTGTGATTCCATTATCACAGAACAGCTAACCACAGGATGCAACCAAAACTCTGCCCTTCATTTCACCACTGGATGTGGACTTGGATATCCGTTTGTTCAGGCTGTTTCGCTGGACCTTATCATCTCCATTACAAGGGAAGGAATCTGTCTGTTCCCCCTACCTCCTTTCTCTCTTCTCCTTTGCAGGATCAGTAAAACCCCTAAGCCACAGCCATTCACTTAAACAACTGAATATGGAATGAACCCCTGCACTACTCTTTACTACCTAATTTCTACTGAAACTGGTTTTATTTAGAGTGATAGGGTTAAAAACTCTTACAATAAGGACTGAAAAGCTCCATATGCATTTTATAGCCAAAAGGGCATCCCAAAATCTAGAAACTTGTCATTGGTTTGGCAATGGCTAAGATCAAATGTTCTACAAACAAATAAGGGCTTTGTATCTAGGAAGACAGTTTGGACCCACCATTTCCAGGATTTAAAAAAAAATTTGTCTGACTTCTCAGAACAAAAGAAGAAAATATTACCACATATCTATCACAAAAGAAAAAAATTGTTGCTGCTCTTTGATAAAAATTCACATTATCTATTAGGCAATAGTTAAGATCAGGGTGTATCTACAGATATGGCCATTAAGAACACACCCTAAGCAACTGGTTTAAACTTCACGGGCGAAGTACTCACAATGCTGTTTTTTGCAAATTTGGCAAGGTCAGGGAGTTTATGGAAGTGCTGTAATGCCAATATGATTTACTTTATAAAGATGAAACCTGTCATTATCCAGGGATGTGCTGTGCAGTGGGTGTGGGGCGGAAAGAGCAGAGTCGCTTTGTCCCAGCAAGCAGTGTCAGCAGTAGTGCGTCTGTTTGCTGGATGTCTTCATGGTGGACTTGGTGAGGTCCAGCCATCTAGTGACAAATGCAGGAGTCAGGCTGGGTCCTGACCCAGTTTGGGGGATTCTTTGGAACAACTTGCCCTGAGCGATTTCAAGCAATCTCACAGGCTTGACCATCATAAATGAGCTAACCTTCATTTGCTGATTCTCAGCCTAGGGTTGAAATCATGCTCCTGGCCTCTAAGAGATCCTCTAAAAATGCCGGAGTCCTGGCATGCTATGAGGAAAGAGACAACTCTCTATTGAAGCTCTGTATACTTTGGAGGTATACAACTGACAAGATTTGAGGAAAAGAAAAAGGAGGGAAAAGACATCATTTTGACTAACAAGATTCACAAATTCTTGACACCTCTCCCACCACGAGATGGAATTTACTTCTCCTCCTCTTGGATCTGGGACAGTTTGTGACAAATAGTCCCATCATGCAAAGAGGCCCAATCTAGTCACATGGAAGGACCATGTAGAAAAAGAGAGGCCCTAGCCACCCAGTGTCCCTGCCATTCATCAGTCGCATAAGTGAGTCATGCAGAGAGCCAGGCACGGGAACCAGCTTACTGGGGCTACACGAGGGGCTGCAAAGACAAGCAGGAAAATAAGGCTGTTATTGCTTTAAACCACTAAATTTGGGGTGGCTTTTTATAGAGCAAGAGATCACTGAAATAGATAAGTAGCATCTCTGATAAACATGTCTTTCTTCCCTTGCACAGACTTACTGCTGAGATAATTACAATGAATTGATTCAACCTCCCAATGACAAGCCCAAAGACAAACAATCTGTGGGTCCAACATTCCCTTAGAGTTTGAAGAACTCGATCGCTTCCCCAGTAACCCCTTTTGTTTTGATCATTATTCTTCTTACATTGTTTTTTCTTTATTAGTCTTGACCCGAGTTTGCAAAAGGACAATTTCAGGTTAAATTTTTTAATAAGAATAGCAGCTTAATAATTGCTTTTTAATACATTGGACCACTAGGGAAAAAAACAGCTACAAATTGGGGGAAAAAAAAAACATTTTGACTATTTCTTAAGAGTGGCACTTCCCTGAAGCAACATAACCTTTTCTTTCAAAATAAACTCAATTGCCTTTGCATACTGTGAAAGGTGAATTGTTTTCAGACTTTCACTGGAGGGAAGAAGTGCTGTGTATATATGTAATTTTCTTCTTGAGTGACCCTAAGTAAGATCATGTACTAAGGAGTTAGGCTAGATTTCCTTGATAGATGATCACGGTCAAGAATCCTCTTTGCTCCTTTTTTCTTCCTGTAGCCCTAGGCCTTTCACATTTCTCTGCTTTCAGTTTTAAGAGTTCCTAAATATACTCTACATGTCTAATTTCTTTAATATAGATCTCCATCTATGGTCCATGTTTATTGAAAAATT